AACCGAACGAAAAGTATATTAGCAAGCTTCACAATATAACAAATACTAACAAAACGTGAGCGTTGCGGCTATGGAGCCTTCATCAGCACATTCAAATCAAATAATACTACACAGAAACACAAAATCACTTAACTGGTATCTCGAAGCAGCCGGGTCATTTATTTCTCAGCAGAATTACTACACGTGTCGGCTAGGGGAATAAATACCCCTTGTGGAGTACTAGGGGCCATAACTGTGGGGTTGGAGATAAAACTATGAGAGCAGTTCAATGCCCTGACAGTTTAAATGAAACTGTGTTGGCAATTCAGTCCAGAGGGTGTTAAAGTCCACAGAGTATAAATAAAGCGATTCTCAAGAGATTTGCGGACTCTGTCGCTGGAGTGGCTAGATTTAATGGCTGTCACATCCATGTCGTGGACACCTTGGTGATGCTGGGAATTGAAGTGCAACGGTACTGGTTTCAAAGCCCTATTTTGCACATCCAAAAGATGTTGTCTAAACCTGTCGGCCAGCTGTAGACCTGTTTCAACAATGTATTTCATGCCACACCTCTTGCAGTTTTTGGCATAAATGACATTGCAGCTGGTACAATAGAATGCTTCACGTCTGTGGAAGGTGGCGTTTTGAGAGTTCTAGACTAGCCACCTGGACCACATATGGACAGGTTCTGCACACAGTTCTGTGGCAAGAGACCGTGCCGAAGTGGGGCTCAGACTCAAGACGTAACCTACTCTTGACTAGAATGTCCTTGTAGGCCACTAGGGGAGGTTCAGAGAAAATGGTGCTGGTGGCAGGGTCGGTTTTAAGGATGGAGAGATGCCTGAGGAAAATACTTTTGGCGCGGTTGTAGTGAGGGTGGTAGGTAAGTGTGAGGATAGGTCTGTTGTTATGACGTTTCGGCTTGGAAGCGAGAGCTTCGGCACAATGAAAATACCGTGCGCTGTGAAAGGCGGCAGATAGAACATGTTCAGGATACCCTCGAAGCCGGAAGAAATCCAGCATTTCCAGGGCCTTGTTGTGAAAGTTGTCGTACTCTTGGCATAGTCTGCGGAAGCGTAGAAGTTGGGAGAACGGAACTGAGTCCTTGCAAGGAGAAGGAAGGAAGGACATGTAGAGAAGAAAAGCATGGGAATCTGTAGGGTTGTAGTACACCTAGGTGCTGAGGCCTATAGAGTTCATGGTGACAATGAGACCCAGAAAATGCACCGACGAAGGTGAGATGTTAGAAGTGCATCGGATGCTGGGAGGAAAGTTGGGGGAAAATGAATAAAGTTCTGCATTTCCGTTACGGGCATATCTGTGACACCGATGCAATCATCCATATACCTCCTGTAGAGCTCGGGAAGCCTACCGGTATATGCATGATGCATCTGGTGCTCGAGGTGCCCCATGAAGAGGCAGGCATAACTGGGTCCCATCTTAATCACCAAAGCGACGCCGCTAATCTGGTGGTTGAAATACTGGCCATTGAACTCGAATGAGTTTAGAGTAAGCACTAGCTCAGCCAGACGAATCAAGGGTCAGTGGCTATGGCAGGACTGACTTTCTGATCTAGAAAGAACCGCAAAATTTGGAGGCCATCTGAATGTGGAATAGAAGTGTAGAGGGAGGTAACATCTAAGGTGAAGATGTGGTACCTGGAAGAAGAGGTCAACCGGATAGCATGAAAGATAGAATCTTTGATGTAAGACGGGGAGATCAACGACCAGGGGTTGAAAAATGGCTCATGGTAGTAAGGCACACCTTTAGGTATAAACATGGATGAAACAAACGATCGATTGATCGATCGATTTAAGGACACCCTCACAGTAGCAGTAAATCAGCTGGAATGATAGGAAATTAATAAGATGGCTGTAGAAAGTGTAAATAAATAGGATCAGCTGAATGATGAAAAGGCAGATCTAAATATAATGTCAAAGAAACGGATCGTGCCTAAGGGTACAATCAAAGTCATTGGTATTCATTTGGAACAAGTGCAGAAACCAGTTTCAGAGGTCAACCACGCAGAACAGGGACCGCAGAAATATCAGAGACTGAAAAGTACTTTATACGAAGCTAACAGAAGGGCCCGCTCTAGAGATCTCTTCCTGCCCTGAGGCATTTCAGGAGTAGAGACAAGAAGAAGCAGAGAAGAAGAAGTAGTTGTAGTGCATAAGATCACATTTCTCGGTACATAAAATATATCAGATGGCAAATACCTCACAGTGATGACATACATCACAGGCCAATCAAAAACTATGATTTATCAAACAAAGCAAGAACATGTACTCAGGGTGTTAAACGGTGTTGAACATTTTGCAGCCGATTTTGAATGTGAGGACAGCGTTTGATGTACTCACGGAAGATAGATTCAAAAGAAGTACACCCACCCTCCCTCCTCCCCACCCACCCACCCTCCCTCCTCCCCACCCACCCTCCTCCCCACCCACCCACCCTCCTCCCCACCCACCCACCCTCCTCCCTACCCACCCTCCTCTCTTCTCCTTCTTTCCCTCCTCCTTTTCTCCCTCCTCCTGTTCTTTCCCAAGTCTCCATACAGCACAAACATGCGTGTTGCCGGCTGCAGAATAATCTCCCTTTTTATGTCCGGAGGCGATTGCAATCACAAGAACCGTCTTCTATCTTTAGCATTTCAGGTGTAAAAATCAGAATCTGAAACTGAGGTGCAGGTGTGGCAAATTACTGAGCGAATTTGTCTCATCCACAATAAATGGAAATAATTAAACGACTGTGATTAAAACGAAAACAGTTTAAATAAGTTTTATTCTGCAAAAATGTTTAGAGAAAGAGAGATAAGACAAATGTAAATTTTGACAGGTTTGGTGAAATGTTATTGAATGTTTTTAAAATTTTAAATTCTGAAATTTAATAAAGCCGGTTTTGCGAAGTAAGAGTGTTTGTTTGTGAAAAATGTTGAAGCTGAATAAACAAATATGAGGTAAAGTGAATGAAGATAACATGGGTTTGTTATCTCGGAAATCAATATATAGCAATCATCTCAGGGCTGGGAATCAATCTTGGAGTCATTAGTCATGTTCTTCTCTTGTTTGAAAGCAGAAGGCGCGAATATTAATTGTTCTGCTTAGAGTGTGGGTGGCATACAAGAAAGGGGATGAGAAGAGAGTGAGAGATAGAGAAGGGGGAGAGAGAGAAGTGAGTTTTATAAAGAAAGACAAAGATGGGTAAGAAATTGGAGAGACAAAGGGCAGACGGCTGGACGGACGGCGGGACAGAGAAACCGACAGACAGACAGACAGACAGACAGACAGACAGACAGACAGACAGACAGACAGACAGACAGACAGACAGACAGACAGACAGACAGACAGACAGACAGACAGACAGACAGACAGACAGACAGACAGACAGACAGACAGACAGACAGACAGACAGACAGACAGACAGACAGACAGACAGACAGACAGACAGACAGACAGACAGACAGACAGACAGACAGACAGACAGACAGACAGACGGACGGAAAAGCAGGCAGGCAGACAGGTAGATCGGACAGACGGGTAGATCAGACAGACAATAATTATATTATATAATTTGACTATCAGGTGCGCTCTACGTTTTTATTAGTCGTGATATAGAATTGTACATGAATTTAGCAAAGATAGTTATTTAATTATCTGATGTCCATTTAACTAGGTATATGATAAAAGTTAAAATAAAATTTTATTTTTTTTCTTCAAATTTAAGTTAGGGTATTTAGTAAATTTATGTTTTTATATTGGCACAAGATCAACACATAAACAGAAAGATACTTAGTAGTAGTAGTTGTAGCAGCAGCAGTAGTAGTTGTGGTCGTAGTAGTAGTGGTGGTATCAGTTCGGGGGCTGATGGTGGTGGTTGTGGTGATGGTGATAGTAGTAGTAGTAGTAGTTGTTGTTGTAGCAGCAGTAGTGGTGGTGGTGGTAGTAGTAGTGGTAGCAGTTCGGGTGGTGGTGGTGGTGGTAGTAGTAGTAGTAGTAGTAGTAGTAGTAGTAGTAGTAGTAGTAGTAGTAGTAGTAGTAGTAGTAGTAGTAGTAGTAGTAGTAGTAGTAGTAGTAGTAGGGGTTGCTGTAATAGTGGTAGTAGCAGTACTAGTAGTGGAAGTAGTAGTACTAGTAGTGGTGGTAGTAGTAGAAGTAGAAGTGGTATTGGTAGTAGTAGTGGTACTAGTAGTGGTGCTAGTAGTGGTAGTGGTCGTGTTAGATGTGGCAGTGGCAGTGGTGGTGGTATTAGTAATTGTCTGATTATAAATATAATGGTAATTCTGCAAACGGTTGCAATTGGTATCTAGATTTCAGTGATCTTTCAGAGTGTTTTCATTTTCTTTATATACCACTAGCCGCCGTGGTGTAGCGGCTAACAGCTCGCCTGCGGATAAAAAGGTCTTGGGTTTGGGTCCTGAGGGAGCCGGAAGGCTACTTGTACCATTGGAATTGGAACTCTACGCCTACTGCTGAAGATTAGGACGCAGCGCTCATGTAAATGCCCGAGTGCTGTGATGTCGATTCTTGAATCAACTAGTTCAACTTAGATAATCCTAAAAACATAAAATAGGGGATTTATTATGGGGCTGGACTCCAGATGGGCCTAGGGCCACCTTTCACAGAGTGCTTGGGGAAACTACAGGTGGAAACATAATCGAATAGAGATTCTTTATGGTGATCGAAAGTCCTATTGATTGTAAGATAAAGTTAGGGAAAGGACCCTATACACCTATATTTTATAGACCATCGGCACAAAATGGGTGATGTGGTCTGTCAGCATCACTCTGGCCGCATTTTCTTCCCAGGACTGTACCTGGTACCCACTCAATGTAGGGTGGACCTGGGAGCAAGGTCGTTTTTGAAAAAAAAAAATGTCCTGATGTGCCATGGAGCGAACCCACTACCTTCCGTTCCACAGGCGAGTCGTTATGCCACGGCGACTGCCTACATTCTTATTGATGATGCTTATGTAACTTTGAAGATTTCTCAAATGGGTGTTCTATTTCGTTTCTTCCTTAGCTGTTCAATTGGAGATCCTATCTCGAGACAACGAAGATGACTGGGCAAAGTTCACTGTGACAATTACAGGCTCCTATCAGAAAGGGACGTCTTCTCGAACCCCGAGGAAAGCAGAGACCTTCCTGTGGGTTCGAAAAGCGGACCTAGCATGTAAATGCCCTAAAGTCCGCAAGAGGCAGACCTACCTGATCGTGGGGAAGTACCAGAGTGAAGATAAGCTCCGGCCTGGCTTTGTTGTCGATCGTTCTGCTACCGTTATACGCTGGAAGGACAAGTGGGATCGAAGAATGAGGCGGTTATTGAAACAAGAAAATCGTGGCAACTGTGCATGATAAACGTCAGAGCTATTTCTCTTCTGATTCCAATGCGCTGCCAAAACACAGTTGATTCGGAGATAAAGGATATTCTTGTATTCTAGTTCATAGTAGAACTAGTTCTATTACCTCCTCTTGAAGTGTCTACGAGTGCGTGAAATGCCAGAGAATGACTTTGACGCACCTTGAACAGCTGGATTTATGTTGACTATGCTATTTTAATTAAATTTGTTCGTTTATATTTCATACTACGACCAGTTTCACCCTTCTTAAGTGTCCATGTGTGCCCAATACTGTAAGGATTAGATGGATGTAATAAGTCCAGATATATGTGTGGAACAATTTGATACAAAATTGACTACGTGTGATTGGAAATGACAATTAAAGCTGCAGTGTATGTGAGCTTCGAAAGACAAGCAATTGTGAGATGCTCTCAATATGGAAACATCATCTGCTTCACGTGATGACAACGATAATTCGAATAAAAAGGCGATGAATGGACAATGGCTATCGCATAATGTGAAAGTCTTGTTGAATCCGATATAACCTTGTGTAAGCTACTTAGCTTTTTTTATGTGAATTTGCGCTGCAGAACTCAGACTGGTGTAAACAAAAATGATGCATTGTTGTTTCAATGGAACAATTACTGCATCTTGTGAAATAAACAAGAAATAGTCATAAAAACATGAGGATATATGGAGTAACAAAGTTGTTAATATTTTTCTCTTTACAAATGATAGCCATGAGAAAACACAAAAGTAAAAGTCCCCACACTTTTGATCTTGCAATTAACTTCCTTCCCAGAAACATATTTGTATCTTTTTTTTAAGTTTTTCATGAGATCAAACTAAAAAAAACGATTCAGAAAACCCTTTTCTCGCGAGATTATCGTTTGAGACGACTAACGTTAAAGAATACAGTTATTGTGTCATTCTTTGAAAAACATCCCGTACATGAATATGGTCGTACTTAAACGTGATTTTTCTCTGACAGTTGTACGCTCGATGCATTGGGTTACAACTGCCCTGTACTTGACATTTTAGATTCTATGTGAAATAGACATTTAGACATTAAATAAGTCGTATAACATTCTGTAAATGACATGATTTGCTTGTGAATATAAATGTGTTTTGTCCCATGTTTTTCAGTGTTGTAAGTCACACTGTATGCATAGTTCCCCACATGACTGCGAGCACTTTTAAACATTACATATCTGCCCGGCTCGCCAGCGTAGTTGGCTAAACCTGACTTCGCGACGACCAGGTGACAAACTCCTTGTGGTCCGGGTTCACGCCCGGGGGTAGGCAGAAAAGCCACATTTCTCCCAGATTGACGGTATTTATCATGGAATCAAGACCAAAGGGTTGCGATATCCATAGTACCGAGCCAAATGGTTAAGAACTTTTGGTTTCTGGATATTTGAAGAAAAATAATAAGGAAAAAAAAACATCACATATGAGCATATGAAAATGAGTGTGTGTGTATGTGTACGTGCATTGAAACAGATGTTTAAAAAATCCTCAATTTGTGATGCGTACTGTGTCTATTGTTATAACCAAACCTAGCTACCAATTCTGTAACTGCCTGCTTGTCCATCTTCTGTAATAAGTTACCAACTCATCTCCCCAACTCTCATGCCTCACATTAGTTAGGAAAACAAATATATCCAATTGCAATACTTAGTAAAACAAATATACCCAAAAGCAGTACTTAGTTAGAAAAATAAATATATCCAATAGCGGTACTTAGCTAGAAAAACAAATATATCCAATAGCAGTACTTAGGAAAACAGATATCTCCAATAGAAAGCCTCACATTGTTAGAAAAACAAATATATCCAATAGCAGTACTTAGTTAGGAAAACAAATATCTCCAAAAGCTCTATTACCCTTTGTTGTGAAATATTAGTTTCTGCACGTTGAATGCAGTCTACGTTTAAATGACTGCCCACGGATAGAGACAGTAAAACAAGCAATGGTTAGCACACAAACCTACTGATCTAGTGGTCCTCTGTTTGAATCACCGTGAAGACATTTTATTGTCAACTGACTTCGGCTACCCTTTTGTTAGCAAGTGGCTTGGATTTCCAAGTTAACGTTTTGTTAACAAGTGGCTTGGATTTCCAAGTTAACGTTTTGTTAACAAGTGGCTTGGATTTCCAAGTTAACTTTTTGGTAACAAGTCCCTTGGATTTCCTCCAAGTTAATGTTTTGTTAACAAGTGGCTTGGATTTCCATGTTAATGTTTTGTTAACAAGTGGCTTGGATTTCCAAGTTAACGTTTTGTTAACAAGTGGCTTGGATTTCTAAGTTAACGTTTTGTTAACAAGTGGCTTGGATCTCCAGGTTACCGTTTTGTTAACAAGTGACTTGGATTTCTAAGGTAACGTTTTGTTAACAAGTGGCTTGAATTTCCAGGCAAAAGTTTTGTTAACAAGTGACTTAGATTTCAAGGTTAACCTTTTGTTAACAAGAGGTTTGGATATCCAGTTAACCAAGTCTAAAATGCCTAGAAGGAAATATACTGGAAAGTAAAAGTGGCTGGTGTTATACAGAATATGATATTCTAAATATGAGGCTATCATAATTTACCCAATATTCTTCATTGTGGGAAAACAGATCCTGACTTTTCAAAATAAGTTGTTATTTTTTTTTCCAGCTAGGCTGGTGAAACAATGGAACAACTTTATTAAAACAAGAACTGATTACAACCCCCCCCCCCCCCCCCCCCCTTTTTTTCCCCCCTTTTGTCCCTCCAATTTTCTCTCTTTTATTAAAACAGGTATAATTTTTAAAACAACTTTTTAAAAACAGATCCTAAATTTTTAAACTAGGGTAGCGGATAAACTTTATTAAAACAAATGCTTACTTCTTTTTCAATTTTCAAGGTAGGAAAACGATTTTATTTAAAATAAGTTAATATTTTTCAAACTGTGTTAATATTATTTAAATGAAATTGTATTTTTCTCTAACTATGTCAGTACTATTTGAACGTACATTCGATTTTTTTTCTCTCGTATTTTTGACATATTTGACTTTAAACATGATTGAACACGCTGTTATTATCTTATTATCCTACCTGATTTTTAACACTCCGTTTTTATCCTACCTGATCATTTTATCTACCTCAAAGATGTTACATGCAAATACAGCCATATCATTCATGTTCAATAACTGCCCTTTATACATCGGTTCTTTACTTTGTGTGCGCACAGAGCTGAGTTATCGGTCTTGTTCTTGCACACCATCTTGTGTGCTGTATTGTCTAGTTTAGTAGGTCCTATTCACGTTTCCCGGCCCATCTGCACACTGCCTGACCTTTCACTCATACTTTCTCAGACTGTTCTGCATCAGAGGGATGTCCCGCCTTCTTGTCTCCAATTACATCAGCGCCGATGTATCGTGCTCTTTACTACACGAGAACACAGCTTTTAATGACCCCAGAACACCTAGAACTGGCGCTAATTCACCAACCCCTCCCCACAGCCTGAGCATAGGTCCCACGTGAGACTCTTTAAACAATACAACGTGACACTTCTCTTACCTAGACCAGAGAAAGTGTGTAGATGGGCTGTGAAACGTGAATAGGCCCGTTTTATATTCACCAATGGTAGGTATTGTGTGTGAAAACTTCCTACGTGGGTTCCGGGTCTCTTAACAATCATGCCATGAAAGGTGGCTAATTACTAGATTGCTAAAACTGGATGTTATATACTTTTTCTTCTTCTTCTTCTTCTTCTTCTTCTTCTTCTTCTTCTTCTTCTTCTTCTTCTTCTTCTTCTTCTTCTTCTTCTTCTTCTTCTTCTTCTTCTTCTTCTTCTTCTTCTTCTTCTTCTTCTTCTTCTTCTTCTTCTTCTTCTTTTTCTTCCTCATTGTCTTCTTCGCTTTCATCGGCTATAAATTCCGGTAGAAAGTTATGGTTGTTCGTACTTAGGCTTTGGCCTAAGCATACTACAGAATCCTGGCTAGTATGTGGGCAGGCGCCCCAGAATACTGTGCTACTGACATGCTGTCTACATGCAGCAGGAAGATTCCAAGTCTGGCCAGTTGGTATTCTGGTAGAAACCAAGCTGTGTGGATCAGCGAAGGCAATGCATCACATCACAGCCTTCATCCAGCCATGTAGCCTTCTCAACTGAAAACCGCTGGCAGCGAAGAGAAAAAATAAAAATTCTGGCTAGTGATTATAATAGGCAAAACTGTGTTTGTTTTGTTGCATCTGTTGTGATAATTCGCTCACACTTTTTGATTATTCACCAAACTGTTATTACACTTGGACTAATGCTGGACAATGTGGGACTAAAAGAGTTCATTAACCACACAAATATTGTGGAGAGCCCGGTTGTTTGATACTCCTCTGGTGTCTAGGTTGTGTGCGGGTGTTGTGTTAGCGGTATTGGTGCGCACAATAATTGTGTCTGTCTCATTGAATAACAGATACGTGCCAAGATGAGTTTAGTAGTGATGGTATGGTTGCAATTAGGATTACGATCATTTTTGGGTTTTCGTGATTTGTTATGGTTATAATTAGGGCTAGATTTAAATTGAATTTAAGAATAAAGTTATGGTTAAAATTAGGATAAGTATCAAGATGAGCTTAGTAGTAATAGTATGGTTATAATTAGGACTGAGTTTATTGGATTTAGAAATTAAGTTGCAGTTAACAAAAGGATGAGGGTCAAAATCAGTTTTGGTGTAATGTTTATAATGGAGATGAGAGTTAAGCCGGGTTTAGGAATAAGGTTCCATTTCCACAGCTTTGGCCGTTTTGGGAATATAGAGCTAGGCCTATATTTTTTTTTTAGACCAAAGGCACAAGATGGGTGATGTGTCAACATCAAACCGGTCGCCTTTACTTCCCAGGACTGCACCTCGTACCCATTCAAGGCTGGGTCGACCTGGGAGTCAGGTCATTTTTGAAGACAGAAAAACGCTAATGCCACGGTGACTCCCTTAGGAATAAAGTTATGGTTAAAATTAGGATGTAAAAGGAGGGGGGGGGGGTGGTGAGTTGGGTTA